GGTGAATGACACATGATGTAGCCCAGCGGTTAATCCAGTCCTTGCGCCAGCTCGTTAGAAGTGAGCTACGTGCATGAACTGTGTTCCGATCGATATGATCCCTACACAGTGTTCATTGCTCCCTACTCCCTGAGCAGGGGAAATCCGTTGAAGTTTACTTCACTTCGGAACATGGGCTGGAATTGGGAACCTGATGTAGCCTATTGTAGTAATGTTGTCTCTGGTCTGTGAGTGTAAATGCGTTCAGGGGGTGTGGCTTTGGACGGCGATTGCAGGAAGGGTGGGACGTTCGCTTTCAGTGCTATCAGGCTAAAGTTAGCATTTTCCAAGATCTCCTATTGTACCTTTAAAGAAAATATTTGAATGTATCAATGGAAGTGAATCAACTGAATTTATTCCATAAAAAGATTAAAAGAAAACACACAAGCTTAGTCATTTTAAAAGCTTTATTCATTCTAATGTTTTTACTTATGTTAAATTATATTCAATTAAAAGTTTTATATTTATTGTCAAAACCTAATTGTTTTTGCATAATGCATTAAGGATATAATATACAATTTATATAAAATAACTAATAAATAATTAGCTGTTTAGTGTAACCATTGCAATGAACAATGCTAAAAGCCAGTTCACCCTTTTGAGCGCCGAAAAAACTTCAGTGGTATAGTCACTGAAACCAGATTTGTGCAACAGGCCTAGAACCGACTCGCAAAATACCTTATCATTTTGCAAAAGCAGTGTCATTCTAGAGTTCTTGAATTCTGCTTGCTGACAGCACTATATCCTTTCAGACACCTTCACAACAGAGCAATATTTTAGATAATGGACAAGAGGTGGTTTCTCCAAGTAGCCAGTGGGCCCCGTATTCACTGGGACGAAGAGACGTGCCTCCAGAGAACATGAATGTCATCAAAAAGGTATTGATTATGATAAAAGTATTTTTTCAATTCTGTGTTTTCGATACAGGGTGTACTAAGGCTGGGTGGTAAATTGAATAGATTCATGATAATTGTAAATATTAAAACACTGTAAAGATTAAAACATTTTAATATAGGTTTTTATTTGGCCATCAAGTTTCCTAAAGACTACATCATCATTTTTATTTCAGTGAATCGATTCATAATTTATTCTGTGATTTACTCAAAAATTATCACTGAAGTGTAAGTTTGATGTATTTCATGTGTTAAATTGTTCTAGTAAAAATAATAAAAAAATCGGGGCCTGTAAAATATTTTTAAAAAGATAATACTTCTATTCAGCAAAGATGCATTAAATTGATCAACTATTTTATTTTTTTTGTAACTTTTTATATATAATATTAAGCAGCACAATTATCTTCAACACTTATATAAAAAATGCTTCTTAAATCAGTTAATTAGAATAATTTCTGATTCAGCTTTGCCATCACAGGAATTAATTACATTGTAATATATATATATATATATATATATATATAAGAAAAAGTTA